CCCCAAAACCCCAAAACCCCAAAACCCCAAAACCCCAATAAATAATTAAATTATTGAAGGGTAATATAATCGGATGGGACAAGCTATAAGCTCTTGTTGCACATGTGAGCAGCCTTCTAAGGCTCCAGTTCACTGTTTTACATGTGCAGATGATGCGAAAATCAATCGGACTAAAGTAGATAGGACTGCTGGTGAAGTAGTTTTCAAAGAAAAAATCCATAAGAATTCTGAGGGAAAACACAAGAAGTGTCTCATCAAAGGAGAAATATTAAAAGACTCCAATAAAAGTTTTGCAGAAAATTTGAGAAAAAGTTTGAACATTTCAGAACAAAATATTTATGATTTCTACAAAATCGGAAAGGTAGTTGGAATTGGAGAGTATGGGACTGTCAGAGAAGGATGGAGCCTTGCTGAAGACTCTCTGAAAGTAGCAATTAAAATCCTAGATCTTAAAGAAATCCAAAAAACATTCAAATCTATCTGATGTGAAGTTTCCTCTCTGAAACAAGCTAATCATAAAAACATTATTAAACTTCACCAAGTATTCATGGACGACAAGAAAGTTTATCTTGTTCTAGAATATGTTGATGGAGTGGATCTTTCAGACTTTATAGTCGATGGTTATAAGTTAAGAGAGAAAGAAGTCAAATATATTCTACAGCAAATGACTTCTACCATTGAATATCTCCACTCTATTCATATCTGACATAGAGACATTAAATTGGATAATATCATGGTGAACACTGACACTTTTGACATAAAGCTAATCGATTTTGGGTTTTCAACCAACTTTAGTGAGCTTGACCATCTTAACTGCAAATGAGGGACGCCATACTATGTAGCACCAGAAGTCCTGAAAGGAAGTTATGGCAAAGAATGAGATATGTGGAGTATTGGGATTATGACTTACTATATGCTAACTGGCGAACCTCCATTTCACTCAGACAGTGACTCTAAGCTCTTTGATTCCATTATTAAGGATGAAGTAATGTATCCAACAAAAGTGTGGTACAATATCTCTTCTGAGGCTAGAGACTTCATTGAGAAATTATTGATAAAAGATTGAAAGAAGAGGATGACTGCTGAAGAATCTTTAGAACATGAATGGCTCTATGAGGGAGATAAGTCAAGTTCTACTAGATCTGATACAAAATGTGAATCCTCTTAACCTTAATAATAGAACATCACATTTTCAATGTAAATTAGAGAAAAAGGGGTTTTGGGGTTTTGGGGTTTTGGGGTTTTGGGG